CTTTTTATGCTTGATGACATATGGAAATTGCTCCAAGAATTCAACCCATTTGACATGTCTCTTGTTTAACTTACCTTGTCCCTTTAAATATTTCAGAGATTCATGATCACTATGAATTACAAACTCTTTTGGTAAAAGGTAATGCTGCCAAGTTTTTAAAGCACGCACTAAGGCATACAATTCCTTATCATAGGTGAGATAGTTTAAGGCAACCACATACAACTTTTCACTAAAATAAGCAATTGGATGACCTTCTTGTAGCAAAACAGCCCCAATACCCACATTAGATGCATCACATTCAACTTCAAAAGATTTTGCAAAATTTGGTAATGCAAGAATGGGGGCATTAGATAGTTTGTGCTTAAGTTCAGAAAATGTCTTTTCTTGTTTTTCACCCCATTTAAACCCAACATGTTTTTTTACTACTTCATTAAGAGGTGCATGCAAAGTACTAAAGTCTTTAACAAACCTCCTATAGAAACTAGCTAACCCATGAAAGCTTCTCATTTCACTCACATTCTTAGGGGTAGGCCACTCTTGGATAGTTCTAATCTTTTCCTCATCTACTTGTACCCCTTTAGAACTCATAACAAATCCCAAGAACACAACTTGATCACTACAAAAGGTACATTTTTCAAGATTAGTAAACAACTTTTCCTCTCTAAACACATTCATGACAACACTCAAATGTTCAACATGCAAATCAAAATTAGTGTTATATATCATAATATCATCAAAATACACCACTACACATTTGTCTAAAAACTCTTTCAAGACATGGTTCATCAATCTCATAAAAGTGTTTGGGGCATTAGTTAACCCAAAGGGCATAACCATCCACTCATACAAACCATACTTAGTTTTAAAGGTAGTTTTCCATTCATCCCCTTCCCTTATCCTTATTTGATTGTACCCACTTTTCAAGTCAATTTTAGAAAAAATACAAGCACCATGCAATTCATCCAGTAAGTCATCTAACCTAGGAATAGGATGTCTATACTTAACAGTGATGTTGTTAATGACTCTACAATCAACGCACATCCTCCATGTTCCATCCTTCTTAGGGACTAGAATGATTGGAACTGCACATGGGCTCATGCTCTCTTGTACCCATCCTTTGCTCATCAATTCTTCAATTTGCCTTTGATCTCTTTGGTCTCTTGGGGATTACTTCTATATGTTGGACGATTGGGCAATGACACTCCTGGAATGAGATCAATATGGTGTTCAATTCCCCTCAAAGGTAGCAGTCCATTTGGCAATTCTTTTGGAAACACATCCTTATATTCCTACAAAAGAAATTCAACACTAGGAGGAATAGCAATTTTATTTGAATTGTCAAAACAAAAATATTATTTTTGCAGTACATTAAGTAAAGTGGTTTCTGTACAAGAAAATCTTTCTTACCTCACTCTCTTTTGCTAAACAACTCATTTTTCTCTCAAGTGTTTCACTCTTTCCCTTAAGTGTATCACCCTTTTTCTTTCTATTCCTTGTAGGTGTTTCACTCTTCTCTCTTTTCTCTTACATTATTTTTTCTCTCATTTTTATTTGATCCTCACACACATCTCTAGGAGATAATGGTTTGAGAATAATCTTCTGGTCATTGTGCATGAAAGAAATCTTGTTGATGAATCCATCATGTAGTGTTTTGGTGTCATACTGTCATGGCTTCCCTAGGAGGATATGACTTGCCTCCATTGGAACCACATCACATAACACCTTATCACCGTACCTTCCAATTGAGAAGCACACTTCAACTTGTTGTGTCACTTTCATCTCTTCATCTTCACTAAGTCATTGAAGTTTGTATGACCTAGGATGTGGTTTAGTTTCCAGGTTTAGTTTAGATACCAATCTGGAACTAGACACATTAGTACAACTTCTACCATCAACAATTAAAGAGCACAATTTACCTTTGATTGAACACCTAGTGTGGAAAATATTTTCTCTTTGGGTTTGCTCAAGTGGCTGCATTTGACTTCCTAGCAACCTCCTTACCATTAGCATATCACCCTATAACGCTTCCTCTTCTAATTCTTCCTCCTCTTCTTCCTCATTAGCTTCAGATTCACTAGTAATTTGCCCATCCTCCTTCATGATCATGATCCTCTTGGTTGGACATTCAGAAGCAATATGTCCTCTTCCCAAGCATTTGAAGCATTTGATGTTTCTGGTTCCAGTGTTGGAAGCGGATGTATTTGGCTTTATTGGTGATTTCCCTTGTGGGGAGTCATAACTGCATTAGATGAATTTCCTCCCTCCTTCTTAGGTTTATCCTTCCAGTTTGAATTATAAGAACTGGAAGAACTTCTCCTTGCTATACTTTTCCTCTTGAGCTATTGTTCAACCTAAACAGCCTTATGCAACAAATCTTCCATCTCCACATATTCCTACAATTCCACAACATCTCTAATATCAGTGTTCAAGCCATTAAGAAAATGAACCATTGTTGCTTCATTTTCTTCCTCTATGTAGGCTCTCATTAATGTCATCTCCATCACCTTGTAATACTCTTCAACAGTCATGCTACCTTGCGTCAAATTTTGAAGTTTTAAACGCAAAGTTCTGCTATAGCTGGTTGGCACATATATCTTCCTCATGACTCTCCTCATTTCAGCCCAAGTATTTATTTCTTGTTCCTCATCTCTTTGTATTTCCTTCTAATATTTGTTCCACCAAATGAGGGCATAGTCTGAGAATTCAACTATTGCCAATTTGACCTTTTGTGCTTCTTATAGTCATTGCATGAAAACACATGCTCAATCTTCACCTCCCATTCCAGATAGGCATCTAGATCATTCATACCTTTAAATGGAGGAACATTCAACTTTACTCCATCAAGTCTATTATGTCTAGCACTACAAGAAAATCACGTATTACCGATGGATATTTACCGACGGATTTGTAGCCGTCAGAAAATAATCATTACCGACAGATATAAAATATTTGTGGAATTTGATATTACCGACGGATATATCCATCGGTAAAATAATAATTAGTTATAGACGGATATATCCGTCGATAAATCTGTCGGTAATTTATAGATGAATTTACCGACGGATATATCCGTCGGTAAATCCGTCGATAAATTAACAATTAATTACCGACCGGATATATCCATCGGTAAATTCATCTGTAAATTAACAATTATTTACTGAATCGGATATATCCGTCGGTAAAATTATATAATATAATTTAATTATTCACCTAATAAAAAAATAAAATATTTTTTATTTAATAATTTAATCATAATTAGATTAATTTATAATAATTTATTAAATTAAATAATTTAAAAAAATAAATATTTAATTATATATAAATATATATATATATATATAAAAATATAAAAAATATATATATATATATAAATATAAAAAAATATATAAATATATATAAATATATATAAAAATATATAAATATATAAAAATATATAAATATATAAATATATAAAAATATATAAATATATATAAATATATATAAATATAATTTATTTGTATATAAATATAATTTATTGTAAATTATAATCGAAAAATTTTGGTAGCTTAGTGGTTGGAGTATCGGCCTCGACTCTAAGGTCTTGGGTTAATAATTCAAAGCTATACAAATATAATATAAAAAAATAATAAATAAGAATATAAAGGGACGAGGGTTCTATAAAAAAAAATATGCTATAAATAAGTAAAATATTTAATAAATAATAAAATTATTACCGACGGATTTTTGGCCGTCGGAATTCCGTCGGTAATATTCATTTACCGATGGATTTTTGTTATTATCGACGGATTTTGACCGTCGGTAATTTTAAAATTTCTTGTAGTGTAGGACCTCCATTATCACCTCTACCTCCCCTGTTTCGGTTAGGACCTCCAACATCTTGATTTATTTGATTTTCAATTCCTTCAATCCTCTCATAGAGCTCTTGATTATTTTGTGTCAACAATCTTTGTATTTTCGTAGTCATAGCTTCAAGCAACAATCTTTGAGCTCCATCTAAATGATGAGGACCATCACCACCGCTCCTGCCATAATTCAACTAAAGAACCAGGAAAAGCAGACAGAATGTGAAGTAACAGGACCTTACCACACTTCTCACGTGTTTGCACTCAAAGATGTATCACTCATGTTTACTCTCAATTTGGCTTTTGTATAATATGCACTCTTTTTTCCCACATGTTCTCCGACTTATGGTTCTTACAAGAATCAATCAATCTATAGTTCAATAATCACTTTCAACTGTAGCAATCATAAGGAATAAAACAGAATTGTAGTATTAACAAAGGATAAGTAGCAAAGAATAATTTTACTATTAATAACAAGCAAGACAAATCTAAATTGCATGGGAAAACAAATATTAGACAAAGACGCTTGACACTTAGAAATTTTATCAAACGACTAATGTGCACCTGAAATTTAAAGGAAGAACAACTGTCACTTATAAATATTTTTTTTCTTTTTTTCTGTAGAAAACTAATTTCAAACACAACTTTGATATATATATATATATATATATATATATATATATATATATATATATATGAAATTCAATATCAAAATTGCATAAACAATAGACTTTTTTTTTCTCACAAATTGATTCTGAATAATATATATTTTCATTCTGAATTTCCAAAATGTTTAATATAACTTAAGTTTATGAGTTTGTCTCATTTACAGAAAATAAACATAAATTAAAATCATAATATCCTAAGCAAGGTTAAGTTGTCCTAATACTTCAGTGAAGACATTATATGCTTTGGGTCTTGGGTTCAAGTCCTCACTATAGTAGATAATAATAATAACTAAATATTGGTCTTGATCTTTCTCGTCAATTGTCAATTCTAAATTTTCCATACATTCTTAAATCATAAAAATACTTGAAAACCAAATGAAACCCACATACAACCCACTCAATAAGCCAAATTGCAACAATCAAACCATTTTTGCAGGTTAGACAGGTTTAGCAAACCTCCTAAACATATGTATGTATAATAGATTCTTAATCATGACATTGAATTGTGTCTTGAACAAGCACAATGTCTAGAACCAACGTCATCTGCAATGCACAGAGGTAGAAATCGTCCATCTTGGAACCAAATGGATCGTTTTTGAAGAAATTCAGAAACAAAGGAATCCAAAATTTCAGTGGTAACATGCTGCATGACTACTACATGAGCAATGTTTCCCATGCATGCCAAACTCCACTTACGGATAAAGTCTTCGTCCAGAGGCCTTTCAAAGACAACAATGTTGCTAAACTTGTTTAACATGGCACCAATTCCAGCATCACGTAATCGATGTTGTAAATGGCATGCATTCATTATGCAATTTTGCACTTCGTTTTGAAGCCCCACGAAACCTTTTCTTTTGATGGCATACCAAAGAAATATGGGAGCATGCCCAGAACGACTACCCGTGATCGTAACATCTCTTGAAGCAATATATTCAACGTCTCTAGATAATGCGTTCATGTATTGTGAACGAGTTATTACAATACCACAAGGGATTGGACATCCCAAAAACTTGTGCCCAGAAATGGCTATACTTCCAATGGGTTTCTTGAAGGTAATCTTTGGTGCCTGTAAAACCATCCGATCAAATTTAATATTTTCGAAATGCTATAATCCGTTCAAGATTTCAATGTTTATTTTCCTTCTGATATATGTCTACCCAAAAGATAGAAAATGGTGTAATTTGTCTGTTCTAGAAATAAAGTCCCAACTGAGAGACCCACAACTTCATGTATTCGACAGTACTTGGTTTGCATAAATATTTCTAGTAATTTTTTTTTAAGAAAAATGATACTTTGACAACCAAAATCCATACAATTCTTGTAAACAACTCTGTTTTAATATTATAATAATAGTTTTATTTTATTTTTATTTTTTTTAAATCAGTCTATAGATTATTATATTAATAAAAGTGAGTTGTTTAAAGAGTTGTATGGTTTCTGGTTGTCAAAATATCACTACTTTTTTTTTTTTTTTTCTGTTATCTATATGTTACAATTTTTCTCATTTTCAAAACTACAAAGGATAAGGTTGGTAAACAGAACAGAATAAAAAGGAGACAGAATATTGGGTTCCAAAATGAATGCCTCATTTGATGGTAAATGTCTATGTCTAACATGATATGATCTCCACGTATCCAACTTAACAACTCTGAAAGAGAGGCTTTTATGTAATGATTATATGTAAACAACTTACTTCTTTGATAAAAGGCAACATCATTCCGAATAAAGCTCCATCACAATGAATATAGAATCGGTCATGAGCAAAACCACATTCCTTGAGTACTTCTATTACAAGATCAAGGTCATCAACTCCTCCTTTCATAGTTGTCCCTACAAAAAGAAACTTTTCATGTTCTGCAAGTGTTTATAAGTTTTATGTAAAATGTTTATTAATTTGTTATGTGAAGTGAGAGATAAGAGGAGACCTATGTTCAGATTGATGATGGCTGGCTTGTCCTTGTGAGCAAGAAGTAACGTCTTTAGTTCATCACAATTAATCTCTCCGGAGTCCGAAGAGCTAACCTTCACGCATTGCATTCGATACATTCTTGCTATTTTGAAGATTGAATAATGTGAATCTTGTGAGGTATATAAAATCCCATCTGGAAATTGTTCTCTCCTGTGTAAAGATGCAAGTCAATTAATGTCTGTTCTTATAATATATTTTTGAAGCGTCAAAAGTCTCTGGAAATTATATCAACAACACTAACCCTACTAAAATCCCATGAAGATTCCCTTCGGTTCCACCTGTTGTGACGTATCCCCAATACTTATTCTTCTCTATCTCCCATAGATTTGCGAACCAATCGAGCAGGCAAACTTCAAACGATGTTGAATTCAGGGACAAACTGGACCCTTGAAATGGATCACCAGCATTGTTCAAATGAAAATTAAGCAATGGTGCTAATTTGTCATAGTTGAACTTTTGATTACATGGGTAACCTGAAGTCCATGAAACTCGATCATTAGTATTTCGTACAGCCTTATATGGCAAGAAAGATAATAATGCAAGTTATCAACATTTTTGTATAGTTGCATTAGAAGGAGATAGATAAAATAAGAAAAGCAAAAGAAAATTGAGACGAGATGTGAAATAGATAAAAGAAATTAACACTGCAAATAGTTTACTTAAATTTTAATTATCCTTTTAAAATAATAAGATGACATGTGATGAAAAAAAAAAAAAAAGAGTTGAGATAAAGAAGAAAAGTATCAAAATAGCAGAACTATAACATCATAAAAAATATTGTTTTCAGATTATCGTACCTCGTATTATAAAACAATTCATTTGTGTTGAGATGGTATTTTATTTCATATACTAATTTAAGAATGTACGTACAAGGAATTGAAACAAGTTTTACATACTTTTCAAAGTAATAAAAAACGCCAAAATAAAAAGCCTACGTACCCAAGTTGCGTAAGTTGAGCTGTTTGAGACTTTGGACATAGTGAGAGATAATGGAATCCAATTTAGGCTGTGGCTTGCCATTGCCCTCAGTGATGGGAAGCATCGCTTCAATATCTATCTGCAACTTATCTTCTTTTGTAGAGACATGACCATTGCTGACAACTGGTGACAACAACTCTGTGTCACGAGTTTTTGGAATGAAAGGCATTGCCATGTTCTTCTCCACTGAATTATCCATATATTGTATTTGTAATATGTTTGTCCAAAAAAGAGACAAAGATGTGAATGTGTATTTATAGCCGAAAATCTAAGTTGAAATTGATTTATTTTGTCATTTGTTCAAACTTATGCAAAACAATTTGAAATAAAGGAAAGAAAAAAAAAGTTTTTGAACAAGTGAAATCTTATACACAAATTAATAAATTATTTGAAAGAGTTTGTTCAAATTAAGTTGAATATAAAGTAATTTTAACTTATACAAAAGTCATTATTTTTTTCTTATAATTTTTCTCTTTGAAAAGTTTCTCCAATTATATCTTTAATTAACTTTAAAATAATTGAATTGTATCTTTATTGGAAAATGAAGTGGTTGTGGTGGATCTTCAAGCTCTGCATATTTAACTGTGGACGATGTGATAAATAACCTAAACATAGGAATATACGAAGGAAAAAACTATCTTGAAACCATACTTTATAAACAACTGATTTTAATATTATAAAATAATTTTAAATTATTTTTTATTTATATTAAATTTTTTTATTATTATATTAATAAAAATGAGTTGCAGGAAAAGATATTTGTCTTGTCAATATATCACCACTTTGTATGAAGATGATGAAAATATCTCCGCACACGCTATATCCTTTGATGAAAATTGAAGTAAGTAAAAGATGAAATAACGTGTTGATTTAAAATAAGAAAATAAAATTCACAATTTTGAGTTAAAAATGATATTTTATTTTCCTATATTATTAGCTTATATTATCTTAATTTAGTTCCCTTGAAAATACTTAATATATTTAATTTACGTGTTTGAAATTAGTAACTGCCATATCTTGTCGAGTTAGTGTCTGCCTAGATAAGAAAGGTACAAATTGTGTTATTAATCTCTTTCATTTTCAGTCACGGTGTGGGAGAAAGGTAACTGACAAGATGTCTGCGTGTAACTCATTGAAAAGGAAAATAGATTACAAATTATGGGTTGTCATATATTCACACTCTTTCTTTAACATACATCCCATCTACAATTTCTCTTATTAATATTATAATCATTCAATTATAAAAAAATTAGTTAAAATTTGATATTTATTAATAATCATTGAAGCCTTTCTATGAATCTACCATTCTCCACATTGATTTGGTGAGTGTGTGAGAGGATTTTCATGACTGTCATTCTCATCGAAAAGCACGTGTTAATGAGTCTACCATTCTCAATAAGACACGTGTCGCTGTCACTGTTATGTGATGGGAGAAGGGTAACCACCCAGTTATAAATTAAATTGTGAGAATAAGTAATAGATACTCTTACGATATAAATAAACAGAAAAAACGTGCTTTCGATTATTGGCTCAATCTCCATTCTTTCATTGCATATAAATAAACAGAAACAATTAGTAAATAAAGTAATAAATAAATATATATATATATATATATCATTTTTTTATTAAATTTATATATATATATATATATTCACTTATATATGAAAATAAAAAATATTTAAAAGTTATACTTTCTAAAATCACCTTTTTCTCAAAATAAAATTATGAATAATTTTATAATTATATAATTAATTATCTTTTATTTAGTTATTATTTTTTTAAATGACAATTTCCATATCTTTTATATCACTTTCTTTCTTAAATAAATAAGTATATTTTTTTCTTTCCTTATAATTCAGCAAAGAGTTATTGTCGTAGGGGATGAAACACATAGGTAACCTCCACAAAATAAAAATAAAAACTGAGTAGATATCTTCAGTTTTTTAGACAATAATTAAAATACCGTATCATATATTAATGTGCCTTAATGTCCAAGCTTAGAAGAGGAAAACGAGGAAAATGAATAAATAAATAATTGCACTCAACCTTTACGCTGTGTTTGTTTGAACTGATTTGTGACGAAATACTATTCACGAAGACAGAAACACAACATTCACACATGTTTGGTTGAACTGATTTGCGACAAAATGCAGGCGAGGAAAAGGGGGAGATGAGAGAGAGAGTTTCTTCGCTGAGGTGCGAAGAAAAGAGATGAAAGTAATGAAAAGTCGCAGTTACCCTGCAATATATGATAGCGGTTAAATCCTAACCACTATTATAACAGCACTTCTAATAGCGGTTAAGCCTTAACCGCTATCTAATATACACTTTAGATAGCGGTTACAGAGGAACCGCTATTATATCAAATTTCGCTCGAGCGAGATATAGTCGCTCAAGCGAAACACAACCCCAGACGCAACAAGGTTCTTAAAAGGAGCTTATAATAGCGGTTAAACCTTAACCGTTATCTAATATACACTTTAGATAGCGGTTACAGAGGAACCGCTATTATATCCTCCAATTATGATCGATCATTTCACGTTATGATCGATCAGAATCAAATTTCGCTAGAGCGAGATATAGTCGCTCAAGCGAAACACAACCCGAGACGCAACAAGGTTCTTAAAAGGAGCTTATAATAACGGTTAAATCTTAACCGCTATCTTATATACACTTTAGATAGCGGTTACAGAGGAACCGCTATTATATCCTCCATTATGATCGATCATTTCACGTTATGATCGATCATAATTAAATTTCGCTCGAGCGAGATATAGTCGTTCAAGCGAAACACAACCCAGACCTTATAATAGCGGTTAAACTTTAACCGCTATCTAATATACACTTTAGATAGCGGTTACAGAGGAACCGCTATTATATCCTCCAATTATGATCGATCATTTCACATTATGATCGATCAGGATGGTATTTCGCTCGAGCGAGTATAGTCGCTCGAGCGAAATACAACCCGAATCTTAAAATATTTTTTTGAATATTATGTTTTTAAATTTGCTATTAGACAAAACCTTTCAGAATTCAAAATGTTAAATAATTTTAAATATTAAAATTAACTTTATCAAAAATTAGGGAAACAAAATTTATCCAAAAGAGTTCAAAATGTATAAGAGTATTCTCAATTTTGATGTTTAATTATATTATTAATTCTCAAAGTAGAAAATTATATTGTAATTATTTTATCTCAAGTTAATGTGATGAGACGATCATAAACATTTCAACATTCGGAGTCAGATATATGGGACATCTTCGTCTCTCCCAGTTGTTCATGTTCTTGAGTGGAAGTGATTGAATGATCTGAACTGGAGGACTTGACTCGCAAAAGATGAATAACATTATAATTATTTGTTTGAAGAGCATTAGTGTGCATAGGTTTAAAATTTTAGTAATGTTTCATTTAATTATTATTCTATTTTCACTTGTATTTTATATTTGTTTTAAATAATAATGTACAATTATATTATTAGTTTTCATAATTATTTGTTACTATCAGATCAATATTAATTATTATTTTATATTTTATAATTATTTAATTATTAGTCAAATAATTTATTTAATATGTCAACATTATTTGAATATGGATATGCAATGTACATAATTTTGTAATTGTTTATTTATATAATTTTTAATAACTATCTAAAAAAAGTTAATTTTTTAAATTTGTTTCCAATTACAAACACTTTTAATTTTATTTTTTCTTTTAAATATATAATCAATGTTAAAATATGGATAATTAATTAAAAATTTATATTTATAATCATTTGAACCTTATTTTATACAAAGGATAAAATGGTAATTTTCTTAAATAATCAACATAAAATTATAATTTTTATATCTCATATCAATCAAATCATTCACAATTTCCCATAAACATTCCATTCATCTCCATTTCTCTTCAAATCCCTTCTTTTCCACTCTCTCATTTCCACTCTCTCAAATCACTCCAACCAAACAAACTCTTACACATCAATTGCAAGGTGCGTGCGGTGCGATGCAGTATGATCCGTCATGAATGCTATGCCACATAATTTGGCAATTTTTTTATTCAAAAAGTGATTCCTCCGCATAATAAATTTGTGCGAAGTAACCGAAACAACAGTACTGTTACGAGTTTTGGATGGGGACGCCAAAACGTCGCCTTTCTTTTGCCGACATTCCAGTCTGTCTCTTCTAACCTAATAAAAAATAAGTTTTTTATTTATATAATTCTTTTTTAATTTTATTTAAAAAAATATATCATTTATTTATTTATTTCAAATTAATTTATATTATATTTAAGTAAAATAAAATCAAATATATAAAATTATAAAACTATTAAAATATGAATTATAATAATGAGTTATAATTATTTATATAACACAAGTTATATATATTCTATAAAAAATAATTCATTTTTTAATTTTTAAAATATACATTATAAATAATTGAAATATTTTTAGTAATTAATTTAAAATATTCTACAGAAATCTTAAATAATATATTTTTTAATTTTTTCTTTTTTTATTAAATACATATTATAAACTCTTGTAATTATAATATTTATAATAATTAATTTAAAATCAAGATTTAAAATTTTATTTATTTATCAAATTCTTTCATATTTAATATAATTAAATTAAATATCATATTTAATAATATATTTAACAAGTATGTATTGATAAGATGAAGAAAATAATTAAAGAAAAAAAATTATACGTAAAATTTATTATATTTCTAAATTATATATATATACTAAAATATATTTTTAAATTAATTTATTATACATATCTTTTCTAATAAAATAATATTCTTTTTATTTTACTAATAAAATAATTATTATTTTATAAAATGGACTAGTCCATAAATTTTTAGGTTAGTCTGACTTAAGTCTATTTAAGTTTTACTTAAATAAGTCGGAGAAAAGTTTGTCCGATTTTATTTAGGTCATAAATTTTGTTGTCCTAACTTAACCTATTTTTTAAATTTTTCGAACGGATTGATCGGACTAAGTCTATTTTAACATCTTTACTCATTCTATAAATAAGGTAAATGTACCAAATAAGATAAAATGTATAGATTTATCCTAATGAAATACCTTATTCATCTCATTTTTTTTGTTTAAAAGGTAAATTAAGACTATAGGGGATTAATTTATTAATTTTTTATATGTATTTTCTTAAA